CTACACATATTAAGAAAACAAAGGAAAATGTAGCCCCGCCCACCCACCCTATCTCAATTCTGATAATTTTTTTTATTCGTCGTGAGTCAATGGGACGGAGCTTCTGCAAAATCCTTATTTCAGTACGACAAATTAAAAACCTTTTCTTGAGTATCGTGTTGTTCAAAGAATACTATGTAGATTGAGAAAAAATTAAAACCCTACAAAAATTGGCTATTTTAAACCTGTTTCATGTTTCCAAGATTAAAAAAATCATCACAATTGAGATAGGGTGGGTGGGTGGGGTTTATATTTTGACTTTTTATTTCAATATATGTAGACTTCTTTTCACAACATGGAACTTAAAACTCTCATAATTGCAAAAATGTACCATGTTTTCTGTTGTGAAAAGATGGCTCTGTATATTAAGAAAAAAGAAAAAAAGGGGGAAATACAAGCTCTCAGTGATCGAAAAACCGAAAAGTTGAAAAACTGATTTATTGAAGAACAAAAAATTTTCAAAATCGAACAATTAAAAAAAACCGAAATTGAAAAGTTCCCAAAATTGATAATTTTAGAAAAATTTAGAAATCGGAAACTTAAAAAAATCAGGAAATCAGCGTTGAAGGATTGAAAAACTGAAAAGTCGAGAAATCCATAAATTCCAAAATTGAATTCCAAAAAATTCTCCAAAATTAGAGAAATCGAAAAATTGGAAAGTCGAAACATCGAAAAATGCAAGATTAATAAACTGAAAAGCTGAAAATTCAAAAAATCGAAAAACCTAGAAATTAGAAAATTGAAACATCGAACTTCGGAAAGTCGAGAAGTTGAAAAACCGGAAGATCGAGCATTCGAAACATAAAAATCAAGAAATCTACAATATAAAAAAATCGGAAAATTAAAATATATTGAAAGATTAAAAAATCCAGAAATTGAAAAATTCTCAAAATTGGTGTGTTGAAATGAAAATCGAAAAACCAAGATGGCAAAATTAAAGAATCGAAAAATTAAAAAAGCCAAAACTGAAAACGTTGAAGAATTCAAATATGTATGGAAAAATTGTAAAATCGAAAAATCCAAACATGAAAAAATCAAAAAAATAAATATTGGAAAATCAAAAATTTAAAAATAAAGAACCTGAAATATCGGATAAATGAAAACTCGAAACATCGAAAAATTCGAGAAATCGAAAAACCTAAAATTTAAAAAATTGTGAAGTTAAAATATCCAAAAGTTGAAAAATTAAGAAATCGAAAGATAAAACAATCGGAAAAACCAAAGTTTAAAAAACGGAAAATTGAAAATCCAAAAAGTGAAATGTCGAGGAATTGAAAAATCCAGAACTCGAAAAATCGAAAAGTCGAAATCTAAAAAATCCCAAAACTCAAAAAAATATCGAAAAATTGAAGAATTGAAGAATCGAAAAACTGAAAAATCACAAAATTGAACGAAATATCCAAAAATTAGGACATAAAAAAAGTCAAAAAAGCTAAATCGAAAAATCGCAAATTTTAAAATCGAAAAATTGAATAATCAAAAATCTGAAAAACCTGAACATTGAAGAACTGAATAGCTGAAAGATCGAAATTTTGGTATGTTGAGAAATGGGAAAATCAAAAAATACATTAATTGAGAAATCGGAAAACTGAAAATTCAGAAACGTCAAAATAGGAAAAATGAAAAACAGAAAAATCATCGAGAAATCAAAAAATCAAAAGATCGAGAGCTCGAGGAGTCGAAACTCGAGAAGTCGGAAAATCGAAAAATTGAGAAACCGAAATAGGCCAAAATCGAAAAATCGAAAAGCTAAAAATGGAAAAATTGATAAATCGAGAGATTGAACAATCTAAATATTGAAACATCCGAATCTCGATAAATCGCGGTCCCAAAAAATTGCAAAATCGAAAATTTAAAAATTCGGAAAATTCAAAAATTAAAATAAAGAATTGGAAACTCGAGAAATTGAAAAATCTAGAATTTTCAAAATTGAAAAAGTAAAATATGGTAAAGAATTGAAATTCAGTTGAAGTCGAAAAATCGAAGTTGAAATACTAAAAAATCCCAAAACTCATCGAAAAATTGAAAAATTGAAGAAAAATTGACGAATCGAAAAACTGAAGAATCACAAAATTGAACGAAATATCCAAAAATTAGGACATAAAAAAGTCAAAAAACCAAGTCGAAAAATCGCAAACTTAAAAAATCGAAATATTGAAAAATCAAAAACTTGAAAAATTGAAAAATTGAAGAACTGAAGAACTGAAAGATCGAAACTTTGGGAAGTCGAGAAATGGGAAAAAATAGATTAATCGAGAAAAAAAAATATTGAAAAAAACCAAAAAATAAAAATTCGAAAATCTAAAATTTAAAAAACGAACAACTGAAAATTCAAAAAATCGAAACTCGAAAATTTAAAAAATCGGATAATTCAAAAATCGAAACATCGAAAAATACAAAAACTTCGACATCGAGAAATCGAAAAATCAAAAGATCGAGAACTCGAGGAGTCGAAAGTCGAGAAGTCGGAAAATCGAAAAATTCAGAAACCGAAATAGGCCAAAATCGAAAATTTAAAAATTCGGAAAATTGAAATTTTAAAATATAGAATTGGAAACTCGAGAAATTGAAAAATGTAGAATTTTCAAAATCGAAAAAGTAAAATATGGAAAAGTCGAAAAATTGAGAAATCGAAATATAAAAAATTCGAAGAATTGAAAATTCTAAAATTCAAAAAACGAAAGACTGAAAATCCAAAAAATAAAAAATCGAAAAATCCATAAGTAGAAAAATCGAAAAGTCGAAGAAATATCAAAAAATTGATAAACTAAATAATTGGAAAATTGAGAAATCGAAAAACCAATAAAACAAAGTCGAAAAATCGAAGAACTGAAGAACTGAAAAATTTAAACTTTGAGAAGTCGAGAAATGGGAAAATCTAAAATAGATTAATTGAGAAATCGAGAAACTTTAACAACGTCAAAATTTGAAAAATTAAAAAATAGAAAAATTGAAGAACTGAAAAATCAAAAAATTGAGAAATCGAAAAATCTAAACTTTAAAACACTGAACAATTAAAATATCGCAAAATCGAAAATCCAAACATCAAAAATTAAAAAAATAAAAGTTCGAAAATCTAAAATTTAAAAATCGAAAAACTGAAGAATCGAAACGCCAGAATTAAAAAAATTGAAAAATTGACAAATGGAGAACTTGAACAAACAAAACATCGAAACATCTGAATTCGATAAATCGAGAAATCAAAAAGTTAAAAAATCGAAAAATTAGAAAATCGAAATTTAAAAATTTGGAAAATTGAAAACTTGAAATGTGGAAGAACTGAAAACTCGAGAAATCAAAAAACCTAAAATTTTAAAAATTGAAAAATTAAAATATCGGAAAGTTGAAAAATTGAAAAATCTAAAGTTTACAAAACGAAAAATTGAAAATCCAAAAAGTAACAAGTCGATTAATCGAAAAATCCAGAAGTCGAAAAATCGAAAACTCGAAAAATCGAAAACTCTAAATACTGAAAAATCCCAAAACTGAAATATCCAAAAATTGAAAAATTGAGGAAAAACTAAAAATCGAAAAACTGAAAAATCACAAAACTGAACTAAATATCCAAAATTAGGACATAAAAATCTTGAAAAATTGAGAGACCGAAAAGTAAAAAATGCAAAGTCGCAACTTAAAAAATCGAAAAATAGAAAAATCAAAAACCTGAAAAATCTGAAAATTGAAGAACTTAATAACTGAAAGATCGAAACTTTGAGAAGTTGAAAAATGGGAAAATGAAAAATTAGATTAATGGAGAAATCGGAAAACTGAAAATTCAGAATCGTCAAAATTGGAAAAATTAAAAAATATTGAGGAACTGAAAAATCGAAAAACCGAAAATTGAAAACTTGAAATGTAGAAGAACTGAAAACTTGAGAAATCGAAAAACCTAACATTTTAAAAATTGAAAAGTTGAAAAATTGAGAAACCGAAGGATAAAACAATCGAAAAATTGAAAAAACCACGTTATAAAAAACGAAAAATTAAAAATCCAAAAAGTAAAAAGTCGACAAATCAACAAGTCCATAACTCGAAAAATTGAAAAGTCGAAATAGGCTAAAAAATCCCAAAACTCAAACATCGAAAAATTGAAAAATTGAAGAACCGAAAAACTGAAAAGTCAGTAAATTGCGCGAAATATCTAAAAACTGGAACATAAAAAACTTGAAAAAGTAGATAAGTCGCAAACTTAAAAAATCGAAAAATTGAAAAACCAAAAACCTGAAAAATCCAATATTGAAGAACTGAAGAACTGAAAGATCGAAACTTTGGGAAGTGGCGAAATGGGAAAACTGAAAATTCAGAAACGTGAAAATTTTAAAAATTAAAAAATATTCAAGAACTGAAAAATCGAAGAATCGAAAATATAAAAGTGACAATTTAAAAATTAGGAAAATTGAAAAATTATAATATAGAATTGGAAACTCGAGAAATTGAAAAATCTAGAATTTTAAAAATTGAAAAAGTAAAATATGGAAAAGTACAAAAATTGAGAAATCGAAATATTAAAGAGTCGAAAAATTGAAAGTTCTAAAAATCGAAAAGTCGAAGAATCGAAATATTGAAAAATCCCAAAGCTGGAAGAAATAGCCAAAAATTGAGAAATTAAATAATTCGAAACTTCAGAAATCGAAAAACCGATTGAAGAACTGAAAAATGGAAACTTTGAGAAATCGAGAAGTCCACACATCGAAAAATCAAAAATTAAAAATTCGAAAATTTAAATTTAAAAATCGAAAAACTGAAAAATCGAAACATCAGAAAATTGAAAAACCCAAAAATAAAAAATCAAAAAGCCGAGAAATCTAAAAAACAAAACAAAAGAATTCAAAAATTTTGAAAAATCCCGTAACTGGAAGAAATATTAAAAAACTTGAGAAATTGTTGATTTTTTACAAAAATCTTGACGTCTACGCGACGAAATATGTATAGGGAATTGAGACGTTTGATAAAATCTGGAACAAGCAAAAAATCGCTTTATTAATAAAATTTCGTCAAAAGTTTTAATAAATGTCCATAAATTTGGGTCGCATTGGTCGCACCATCAACCTGACTTCCTTCAAACTGTAATTACTTCCATCTGGAGCAATCCAGTACGTTCTCTTCCATATATCAGCCTGAGGAAAAGTCTTCCCCAAAAGTTTCCCAGTCAGATGAGCTCTTTTGCAGTTACGGTACCACCAGCCACCATTCGACCAATCAGCACAATTTGCAGTAGCATCTACATCATTATCCCTATCCTTAGTCGTAAATTTCATTCCAGCTTCCTTGGAGAAATAGTCCCCAGCGGTACCACTGTACCCTCGCAAGGTGTCCATCGCGTATTGGCCTACTTCATCTCCAACTCTGAAGATTTGATAGTGGGCGTGGAGTTGTTTATTGTCCCAGTCAACCAGTTCAATGAGCAACTCGTTGTATTCGTATCCTGTCAGTAAATGCATTTTCTCCAAACCTAGCCAAAATTCGCCCTCCAGCTTACCAAACCCATTTTTGTAACTCTTCCAGTCTAAGTAGAAGTCCTGCGATCCGTCGTATCTGTTCATAATGACAGTCCAGCCACCACCTTGAGTTTGCATGTTGCAGTACACTTTAAAGGGTTCTAATGCGTACTTGGGTAGGATGGTGTAAATTCCAGAAACATTGTGCCCTTGTTTCTGGATTTCTTTACAGTTTGTCGGGACGTGTTTAGTGCAGGTGTTGGTTTCTGGATTAGTTTTGTATTGTATAGTTTTTTGGAGTTTTGCGATTTGAGCTTCCAGGGTTGCTAATTTGGTTTGAATTTCGTCGAGTTTGTTGGTATTTTCGGTTAGTGGAGAAGTGCGTTCTGTAGTAGAGACCACGACAAACTATTTACATCAAAATTTAATTCTTTAGTTGGAAAAATTTTTAGAATACTTACATTGTCATTATTCGACTGTAGTGAAAATTTAGTTAGCGTGAGGAGAACTAGTGCACAAAGTTTCGTGGACATCTTGTTTGATTCACTGGCGATTTTATATTTAATAATTTTATACAAACACTGTCTTATCAAATGTTTTGTTTTAAATAGACTTGGATTTAACCTCGTTATCATAATTTGTGCACTGCTGGGGTTTTACTGTGTCCAGGACACTGGGACATGTATTAAATAGCATTCAAAACATACTGTTAAAATGTTTTATTAAGCATATATAATATATTCATTTTATCTGTTCGCGACAGAAAATTTTTCAAATTTTCAAGCTTTGATTTTTCAATTCCAAAATTTTCCACGTTTAAAATTTTTCAGTTTTTAATCTTTCGATTTTTCAAATTTTCGTTTCTACAAATATTTTTGATTTTTCAATTTTACAGTTTCTTGACTTCTAAATTTTTCAATTTTTCGATTTGCAATTTTTTAATTTTGCAATTTTCCGATTTTACAGTTTCTCATTTTTCGATTTTTCACATTCTCAGTTTTTAATTTTTGTCATTTTTCGTTTCCTCAATTTTTCAAGTTCTCGATTTTTATTTTTCATTTTTCCGATTTTTTTAATTATTTTCCCGATTTTGTCACAAATTTTCATTTTTTCAATTAATTTGTTTTTTGTTGTTTCTTTCGATTTTTCAATTTTTCGCTTCTTCAATTTTTCGAATTTTCAGTTTCTCAATTTTTCGTTTCCACAATTTTTTATGATCCCGATTTTTATTTTTCAATATGGCGAATTTTTAATTTTTATTTTCTCGATTTATATCACAATTGTCCGTTTTTTCATTTCCTTTATTTTCTGTTTTTTTTCGATTTTACAATTTTTAAAATTTCCAGGCTTTGAATTTTCAGTTCGTCCATTTTTCAATTTTTAAATTTCTCAATTTGCAGTTTTTGGATTTCCAGTCTTCCGATTTTCCAATATCTTTAATTTTAAATATTTCTATTTCATAATACATATTTCCTTTTTTTTATTTTTCACTTTTTCGATTCTTAAGATTTTTCAAGTTTTCATTTTGTAATTTTTCGTTTTTTATTTTTGGTTTTTCAATTTTCGACTTCCAAAATTTTCAATTTTTCGTTTTGCATCAGTTTTTCAATTTGACAAATTTTCAATATTACAGATTTTCATTTTTCGATTTTTCAGTTTTTCAATTTTTAATTTTTGCCTTCTCCAATTTTTTGTTTCCTATTTTTATTTTTCATTTTCCCGAATTTTTATTTTCACTTTTTTGATTTTATATCATAATTTTGATTTCCTTTATTTTTTGTTGTTTCTTTCGATTTTACAATTTTTCCTGTATTAAATTTTTCAAATTTTCAGGTTTTTATCAATTTTTCTTCAAATTTTCAAGTTTGATTTTCACTTTGTACATTTTCAAGTTTTTATTATACACTTTTTCGTTTTTTTATTTTTGATTTTTCAATTTGTCGACTTTCAAATGTTCCAATTTTTCAATATCACAATTTCTCATTTTTCCATTTTTCACATTCTCGATTTTTAGTTGTGCCCGTTTTCAATTTTTCGTCCCCTCAATTTTTCAATTCCCCGATTTTTATTTTGCATTTTCCTGATTTTTTATTTTTCATTTTCACAATTTTTTTAATTTTTGTAGTTTCTTTCGATTTTCCAATTTTTCGTTTATTCAATTTTTCAAATTTTCAGGCGAATCGAGTCCAATTCATCGATTTTCCGATTTTTAAATTTTTCAGTTTGCATTTTTTGGGTTTCCATCCCTTTTTTACTTTTTGGATTTTCAATTTTTCGTTAAACTTTAGATTTCTCAATTTTTCGACAGTTTTATACTTCGATTTCTTAATTTTTTTTTCAACTTTTCGATGTTTTAAATTTTCTTTCTTAAAATTTTTTTTATTTCTCAATTTATCGAATTCAGATGTTTGGATGTTTTGGTTGTTCAATTTCTCGATTTATCAATTTCTCAATTTTTTTCTGTTTCTCGATGTTTCGATTTTTGGATTTCTCGGTTTTTCGATTTTCCAATTTTTCGATGTTTCGATTTTTCAGTTATCCGATTTATTAATTTTTTTAAATTCTGGAGTTTCGATTTGTCGATTTTTCAGTTTTTCTATTTTTAAGTTTTAGATTTTCGAATTTTTCTTTTTTGATTCTTTGATGTTTGGATTTCTCCATTTTTCAATTTGGGATATTTCAATTGTTCAATGTTTTAAATTTTAGATTTTTCGATTTCTGGATTTTTTGATTTTCCAGTTCTCCAGTATTTCTATTTTAGAATTTTTCAAATTTTGACATTGCTAAATTTTCATTTTTCCGATTTTTCGATTAATATATAAATTTTTTTGTTTTCCCGTTTCTCGAATCCGCAATTTCGATTTTTCAGTTCTTCAATTCTTCAGTTTTTCGTTTTTTAAACTTTAAACATTTCAATTTTCGACTGTTTTACATATATTTCGATTTGTGAATTTTTCGGGTTTTCAGTTCTTGCATATTCTAATTTTTCTTTTTTCCAAATTTCTTTATTTTTCAATTTTTCAATTTTCCAGTTTTTTAGATTTTCAAGTTTTGACGTTTCTGAATTTTTTCAGTTTTCCGATTTCTCAAATAATCTATTTTTTGATTTTACCATTTTCGACTTGCTAAGGTTTCAATTTTACCGTTTTTCAGTTCCTCAATTTTTCGATTTTTTAGGCTCCAGATTTTTCAGGTTTTCGATTCTTTGGGTTTGCAGTTTTTTGGCTTTTCGATTTCCCAATTTTTCAATTTTTTAATTTCCCAATTTTTGGATATTTCGTTCAATTTTGTGTTTTCTCAGTTTTTCGATTCTTCAATTTTTCGGTTTTCTGATTTTTTAGTATTTCGACTTTTGGATTTTTCACGTTCTGGATTTTTCGATTTTTCGACGTTTTACTTTTTAGATTTTCGATATTTCGATTTTTGTCACAAACTTTAATTTTTTCAACTCCCCGATTTTTTTTTGCATTTTCCTGATTTTTTATTTTTCACTTTCTAGATTTTATATCACAATTTTTTAAATTTTTGTTGTTTCTTTCGATTTCCCAATTTTTCGTTTATTCAATTTTTCAAATTTTCAGGCCAATCGATTCCAATTCGTCGATTTTCCGATTTTTAAATTTTTCAGTTTTCAGTTTTTGGGTTTGCACCCCTTTTTTACTTTTGGGATCTTCAATTTTTCGTTAAACTTTAGATTTATCAAATTTTCGACAGTTTTATACTTGGATTTCTTAATTTTTTTTCAACTTTTCAATGTTTTAATTTTTCTTTCTTAAAATTTTTCAATTTTTTCTATTTCTCGATTTATGGAATTCAGATGTTTGGATGTTTTGATTGTTCAATTTATCAATTTCTCAATTTTTTTCTATTTGTCGATGTTTCGATTTTTCGATTTCTCGGTTTTTCGGTTTTCCAATATTTCGATTTGTCGATTTTTCAGTTTTTCTATTTTTAAGTTTTATATTTTCAAATTTTTCTTTTTTGATTCTTTGATGTTTGGATTTCTCCATTTTTCAATTTGCGATATTTCAATTGTTCAATGTTTTAAATTTTAGATTTTTCGATTTCTGAATTTTTTGATTTTCCAGTTCTCCAGTATTTCTATTTTAGAATTTTTCAAATTTTGACGTTGCTAAATTTTCATTTTTCAGATTTTTCCATTAATATATATATATATATTTCTTTATTTTCCCGTTTCTCCAATTCGCAATTTCGATTTTTCAGTCTTCAATTCTTCAGTTTTTGTTTTTCACGTTCTGCATTTTTCGATTTCTCGACGTTTCACTTTTTGGATTTTCAATTTTTCGTTTTTTGAACTTGAAAAATACAGGGTGTGAGTGAGAATTTATGCTGAACTGTTGTGTGACAATTCTGAGTGTGCACAACTGGGTTTTTCCATTCTTATCTTCTTGGTCGGGTTAATGCATATCAGTCAGTAACATCAACAAAACTAGATTTAGTACTTAGAATAAAATAAACAATTTTATTAAAAAATAAAATATTTATAGCGACAATTATCTGTGATCTTACATTACTCATCACAAAAATTTAAACACAGTTAAAACGTTAAAAGGGGAAATTTTCTAAAGAAATTTTTCTTTTGGAAATAGCTCCACTTTGCTCTGTTCTCGTGGTCTCACCATCATCCTTATTTGCTTGTGACTGTAGGTGTTTCCGCGATACCCCACCCAGTATATCCCCTTGAGATAGTCCTTCCCTGTTTTGCTATCCTTGAAGTACTTGCCAGTAGGATGGCTCCATTTACAGCTTCGGTACCACCAAGCCGCTTCCGAAAAACTGGCACAATTCCCTTCATTCCACACATCCTGATCTTTATCCCTAGTAGTAAACCTCATACCGGCTTCGTTCTTGAATGAGTCGCTAGCGGTACCACTATACCCCTCTAAAATTTTCAAAACATAACCTTCTTTTTCGTTTCCTACCGTAAACGTGTTGTAGTGAGCATCCACTTGTTTGTTGTCCCAGTCCACTATCTCCACCAACAGTTCGTTGAATTCGTACCCTTTAGAAAAAGTACGTTTATGTGGATGTCGTTCCTGAAGTGGTACTCACCTGTCAGAAGATGAATTTTTTCCAAACCTAGCCAAAATTCGCCACCTAGGTTACCAAAGCCTTGCTTGTAGTTGTCCCACCTTAGATAAAAATCCTCGAAGCCGTCAAATCGGTTCAAAATGTAGGTCCAACCACCTCCTCTGGTTTTCATATCGCACACGACTGGAAAAGCTTCAGTGGAAAATCGTGGCTGAATGTAGTAAATGTTTGAGGTGTTGTGACCCTGTTTTTGAATTTCTTTGCAGTTTGTGGGGACGTGTTTAGTGAGGGTGTTGGTTTCTGGGTTAGTTTTGTCTTGTAGAGTTTTCTGGAGTTTTGCGATTTGGGTTTCCAGCGTTGCTAATTTGGTTTGAACTTCGTCGAGCTTGTTAGAGTTTTCGGTGCGTTCGGTAGTAGTAGTAGAGACGACGACAAACTACATCAAATTTTGAGATTTTAAATTGGAAAATTTTGTAGAATACTTACGTTGTCATTATTCGACTGTAGTGAAATTGTAGCTAGTGTGAGGAGAATTAGTGCACAAAGCTTCATGGACATCTTGTTTGATTCACTGGCGATTTTATACTTAATAATTTTATACAGACACTGTCCTATCAAATGTTTTGTTTTAAAGAGACTTGGATTTAACCTCGTTATCATAATTTGTGCACTGTTGGGTTTTTACTGTTTCCAGGACATTGGGGCAGGTTTTAAATAGCATTCAAAACATACTTTAAACATGTTTTATTAAGCATACAATATACAGGGTGTTTATTTTATCTGTTCGCGCCAGACAATTTTTGCATAGGCAACATATTATATACCCCAGAGACGACTTCGGCCACGTTTCTCCATTTTATAACACAATTTTTGGTTTCTTTATTTCCTTTATTTTTTTGTTGTTTCTTTTGATTTACAATTCTTTATTTATTAAATTTTTCAAATTTTCAGGATTTGATTTTTCAATTTCATGTTTTTCCACGTTTAAAATTTTTCAATTTGCAGTTTCTGGATTTACAGTCTTCCAATTTTTCAATTTCTTTCATTTTCAATATTTTGATTTTATAATATATATTTCTTTTTTTTTTATTTTTCACTTTTTCGAACTTTCAATTTGACATTTTTCAAGTTTTCATCATAAACTTTTTCAATTTTACAGTTTCTTGACTTCTAAATTTTTCAATTTTTCGATTTGCAATTTTTTAATTTTGCAATTTTTTTTTTACAGTTTCGCATTTTTCGATTTTTCACATTCTCAGTTTTTAATTTTTGTCATTTTCAATTTTTCGTTTCCTCAGTTTTTCAAGTTCTCGATTTTTATTTTTCATTTTCCCGATTTTTTTAATTTTTATTTTCTCGATTTATGTCACAATTGTCCGTTTTTTCAGTTCCTTTATTTTCTGTGGTTTTTTTCGATTTTACAATTTTTCAAATTTTCAGGCTTTGAATTTTCAGTTCGTCCATTTTTCATTTTTAAATTTTTCACTTTGCAGTTTTTGGATTTCCAGTCTTCCGATATTCCAGTTTCTTTAATTTTAAAAATTTCTATTTCATAATACATATTTCTTTTTTTTTATTTTTCACTTTTTCGAATTTTAAGTTTTTCAATTTTTAATCTTTCCATTTTTCAAATGTTCGTTTCTACAAATTTTCGTGTTTGATTTTCACTTTTGACATTTTTCAAGTTTTCATCATAAACTTGTTCGTTTTTTTATTTTTGATTTTTCAATATTACAGTTTCTTGACTTCTAAATTTTTCAATTTTTCGATTTTACAGTTTCTCATTTTTCGATTTTTCACATTATCAGTTTTCAATTTTTGTCATTTTCAATTTTTCATTTCCTCAGTTTTTTAAGTTCCCGATTTTTATTTTCCATTTTCTCGATTTTTTAAATTTTTATTTTCCCGATTTTGTCACAAATTTTCATTTTTGCAATTCCTTTATTTTTTGTTGTTTCTTTCGATTTTTCAATTTTTCGTTTCCACAATTTTTCATGTTCCCAATTTTTATTTTTCAATGTGGCGAATTTTTAATCTTTATTTTCTCGATTTATATCACAATTGTCCGTTTTTTCATTTCCTTTATTTTCTGTGTGTTTTTTTTCGATTTACAATATTTCAAATTTTCAGGCCTTGAATTTTCAGTTTGTCTATTTTTATTTTTTTAAAATTTTTCACTTTGCAGTTTTTGGATTTCCAGTCTTCCGATTTTCCAATTTCTTTAATTTTAAATTTTTCTATTTCATAATACATATTTCTTTTTTTTTATTTTTCACTTTTTCGAATTTTAAGTTTTTCAATTTTTAATCTTTCCATTTTTCAAATTTTCGTTTCTACAAATTTTCAAGTTTGGTTTTCACTTTTGACAATTTTCAAGTTTTCATCATAAACCTTTTCGTTTTTTTATTTTTGATTTTTCAATTTTACAGTTTCTTGACTTCTAAATTTTTCAATTTTTCGATTTGCAGTTTTTTAATTTTGCAATTTTTCAGTTTTACAGTTTCTCATTTTTCGATTTTTCACATTTTCAATTTTTAATTTTTGTCATTTTCAATTTTTCGTTTCCTCAGTTTTTCATGTTCTCGATTTTTATTTTTCATTTTCCCGATTTTTTTAATTTTTATTTTCCCGATTTTGTCACAAATTTTCATTTTTTCAATTCCTTTATTTTTTGTTGTTTCTTTCGATTTTTCAATTTTTCGTTTCCACAATTTTTCATGTTCCCGATTTTTATTTTTCAATGTGGCGAATTTTTAATCTTTATTTTCTCGATTTATATCACAATTGTCCGTTTTTTCATTTCCTTTATTTTCTGTGTTTTTTTTTCGATTTTACAATTTTTCAAATTTTCAGGCTTTGAATTTTCAGTTCGTCCATTTTTCAATTTATAAATTTTTCACTTTGCAGTTTTTGGATTTCCAGTCTTCCGATTTTCCAATTTCTTTAATTTAAAATTTTTCTATTTCATAATACATATTTCTTTTTTTTTATTTTTCACTTTTTCGAATTTTAAGGTTTTTCAAGTTTTCATTGTGTAATTTTTCGTTTTTTATTTTTGATTAAATTTTCAATGTTTCGTTCCTTCAATTTTTCGGTTTGCATCAGTTTTTCAATTTGGCAATTTTTCAATAGGACAGATTTTCATTTTTCGATTTTTCAGTTTCTCAATTTTTAATTTTTCCCTTTTCCAATTTTTTGTTCCCGATTTTTATTTTTCATTTTCCCGATTTTATTAATTTTCACTTTTTTGATTTTATATCACAATTTTGCTTTTTTGGATTTCTTCTATTTTTTGTTGTTCTTTCGATTTTACAATTTTTCCTTTATTAAATTTTTCAAATTTTCAGGTTTTTAGCAATTTTTCTTCAAATTTTCAGGTTTGATTTTCACTTTGTACATTTTCAAGTTTTTATTATACACTTTTTCGTTTTTTATTTTTTATTTTTCAATTTTACAATTTGTCGACTTCCAAATTTTCCAATTTTTCAATATTACAATTTCTCGTTTTTCTATTTTTTACATTCTCGATTTTTAATTGTGCCCTTTTTCAATTTTCCGTCCCCTCATTTTTTCAACTCCCCGATTGTTATTTTGCATTTTCCTGAATTTTTTATTTTTCATTTTCTCGATTTTATATCACAATTTTTTGTCTTTTCGTTTCCTTAATTTTTGTTGTTTCTTTCGATTTTCCAATTTTTCGTTTATTCAATTTTTCAAATTTTCAGGCCAATCGATTCCAATTCGTCGATTTTCCGATTTTTAAATTTTTCTGTATGCAGTTTTTGGGTTTCCACCCCTTTTTTACTTTTTTGGATTTTCAATTTTTCGTTGAACTTTAGATTTTTCAAATTTTCGACAGTTTTATACGTCGATTTCTTAATTTTTTTTCAACTTTTCGCTGTTTTAATTTTTCTTTCTTAAAATTTTTCAATTTTTTTCTGTTTCTCAATGTTTCGATTTTTGAATTTTTCGATTTTTCGATTTTTCGATTTTCCAATTTTCGATGTTTCGATTTTTCAGTTATCTGATTTTTTAATTTTAAATTATGGAGTTTCGATTTGTCGATTTTTCAGTTTTTCTATTTTTAAGTTTTACATTTTCGAATTTTTCTTTTTTGATTCTTTGATGTTTGGATTTCTCCATTTTTCAAATTTGCGATATTCAGTTGTTCAATGTTTTAAATTTTAGATTTTTCAATTTCTGGATTTTTTGATTTTCCAGTTCTTCAGTATTTCTATTTTAGAATTTTTCAAATTTTGACGTTGCTAAATTTTCAGTTTTCCGATTTTTCCATTAATATATATATTTTTTTATTTTCCCGTTTCTCGAATTCGCAGTTTCGATTTTTCAGTTCTTCAATTCTTCAGTTTTTTACATATATTTCGATTTGTGAATTTTTCGGGTTTTCAGTTCTTGCATATTCTAATTTTTCTTTTTTCCAAATTTTTTTATTTTTCGATTTTTCAATTTTCCAATTTTTTAGATTTTCAAGTTTTGACGTTTCTGAATTTTCAGTTTTCCGATTTCTCAATTAATCTATTTTTTGATTTTACCATTTTCGACTTGGCAAGATTTCGATTTTTCAGTTTTTCAGTTCCTCAATTTTTCGATTTTTCAGGCTCCAGATTTTTCATGTTTTCGATTTGCAGTTTTAGGTTTGCAGTTTTTTGGCTTTTCGATTTCCCAATTTTTCAATTTTTTAATTTCCCAATTTTTGGATATTTCGTTCAATTTTGTGTTTCCTCAGTTTTTCGATTCTTCAATTTTTCAGTTTTGGGATTTTTTAGTATTTCGACTTTTGGATTTTTCACGTTCTGGATTTTTCGATTTCTCGACGTTTTACTTTTTAGATTTTCAATTTTTCGTTTTTTGAGCTTTCGGTTTTTTACAACTTTTCGATATTTTAAGTTTTCAATTTTTTAAATTTTTGTCACAAATTTTCATTTTTTCAATTCCTTTATTTTTTGTTGTTTCTTTCGATTTTTCAATTTTTCATTCAAGTTTTCGAATCTTCAGTTTCTCAATTTTTCGTCTCCACAATTTTTCATGTTCCCGATTTTTATTTTTTAATGTGGCGAATTTTTAATTTTTCTTTTCTCGATTTATATCACAATTGTCCGTTTTTTCATTTCCTTTATTTTCTGTATTTTTTTGATTTTACAATTTTTAAAATTTCCAGGCTTTGAATTTTCAGTTCGTCCATTTTTCAATTTTTAAATTTTTCACTTTGCAGTTTTTGGATTTCCAGTCTTCCGATTTTCCAATTTCTTTAATTTTAAATATTTCTATTTCATAGTACATATTTCTTTTTTTTTTGATTTTTCACTTTTTCGATTCTTCAGATTTTTCAAGTTTTCATTTTGTAATTTTTCGTTTTTTATTTTTGATTAAATTTTCAATGTTTCGTTCCTTCAATTTTTCGGTTTGCATCAGTTTTTCAATTTGGCAATTTTTCAATATTACAGAATTTCATTTTTCGATTTTTCAGTTTCTCAATCTTTAATTTTTCCCTTTTCCAATTTTTTGTTTCCGATTTGTATTTTTCATTTTCCCGATTTTTTATTTTCACTTTTTTGATTTTATATCACAATTTTGATTTCTTTTATTTTTAGTTGTTTCTTTCGATTTTCCAATTTTTCGTTTATTCAATTTTTCAAATTTTCAGGCCAATCGATTCCAATTCGTCGATTTTCCGATTTTTAAATTTTTCAGTTTGGAGTTTTTGGGTTTCCACCCCATTTTTACTTTTTGGATCTTCAATTTTTCGTTAAACTTTAGATTTCCCAAATTTTAGTCAGTTTTATACTTCGATTTCTTATTTTTTTTTAACTTTTCGATGTTTTAATTTTTCTTTCTTAAAATTTTTCAAATTTTTTTAATTCTCAATTTATCGAATTAAGATGTTTGGATGTTTTGATTGTTCGATTTTTCAATTTATGAATTTCTTAATTTTTTTCTATATCTCGATGTTTCGATTTTTGGATTTCTCGGTTTTTCGATTTTCCAATTTTTCGATGTTTCGATTTTTCAGTTATCCGATTTTTTAATTTTTTTAAATTCTGGAGTTTCGATTTGTAGATTTTTCAGTTTTTCTATTTTAAAGTTTTATATTTTCGAATTTTTCTTTTTTGGTTCTTTGATGTTTGATATTTAAATTGTTCAATGTTTTAAATTTTAGATTTTTCGATTTCTGGATTTTTGATTTTCCAGTTCTTCAGTATTTCTATTTTACAATTTTTCAAATTTTAATTTTGCTGAATTTTCAGTTTTCCGAATTCGCAGTTTCGATTTTTCAGTTCTTCAATTCTTCAGTTTTTCGTTTTTAAGCTTTAGACTTTTCAATTTTCGGCAGCTTTATATATATTTCGATTTGTGAATTTTTCGGGCATATTTTAATTTTTCTCATTTCCGAATATTTTTATTTTTCGATTTTTCAATTCCTTGAGAACTCGATTTATCGAGAATCGGATGTTTCGATGTTTTGATTGTCTCAGTTTTTGAATTTTCCCATTTTTCAATTTTCAAATTTTTTAAATTTTCAAGTTTTGACGTTTCTGAATTTTCAGTTTTCCGATTTCTCAATTAATCTATTTTTTGATTTTACCATTTTCGACTTGGCAAGGTTTCGATTTTTCAGTTTTTCAGTTCCTCAATTTTTCGATTTTTCGGGCTCCAGATTTTTCAAGTTTTCGGTTCTTTATTTTTGCAGTTTTTCGGCTTTTCGATTTCCCAATTTTTCAATTTTTTCTCAGTTTTTCGATTCTTCAATTTTGCAATTTTGGGATTTTTTAGTATTTCGACTTTTGGATTTTTCACGTTCTGGATTTTTCGATTTCTCGACGTTTTACTTTTTGGATTTTCAATTTTTCGTTTTTTGAACTTGAAAAATACAGGGTGTGAGTGAGAATTTATGCTCAACTGTTGTGTGACAATTCTGAGTGATACCACCTTCAGCAGTGTGCACAACTGGGTTTTTATATTCTTATCTTCTTGGTCGGGTTAATGCATATCGGTCAGTAACAACAACAAAACTAGATTTAGTACTTAGTATAAAATAAACAATTTTATTCATAAATAAAATATTTATAGCGACAATTATCTGTGATCTTACATTACTCATCACAAAAATTTAAACACAGTTAAAGCGTTAAAAGGGGAATTTTTCTAAAGAAATTTATGCAAACGCTGCCTTATCAATTGTTTTCTTTCCAAGAGACTTGGATTTAACCTCGTTATATTAATAAGCGAACTGGTGGGGTTTTACTATAGATACAAAGGCATTCAAAACATACTTTAAAAATGTTTGATTAAACTTCTGATTTGTAAACACAATAATCGTCCAAAAAGTGTTCACAGATCTGGACGCAATGGTCGAACCATCATTCTCACTTCCTTCAAACTGTAATCCTTTCCGTTGGAACCAATCCAGTATGTTCTCTTCCATATATCCGACGGAGGAAAAGTCTTGCCCAAGAGTTTTCCACTCAAATGAGTTCTCTTACAACTACGGTACCACCATCCGGCATTCGACCAATCAGCACAATTACCTTCGGCCCATAAATCATTATCTCTATCCTTAGTCGTAAATTTCATTCCAGCTTCCTGGGAGAAATAGTCTCCAGCGGTACCACTGTACCCTCGCAAGATCTCCATCGTATATTGATCTTCTGCAGTTCCAACTTTGAAGGTCTTATATCGTGCATAGACTTCTTTATCGTCCCAGTCTACTAGTTCAATAAGTAACTCGTTGTACTCGTATCCTGTCAAACGAAAAATATTCTACAGAATTTGTACCTTAAAGGATGCTGCAGTACCTGTCAGTAAATGCATCTTCTCCAAACCTAGCCAAAATTCGCCCTCCAGCTTTCCAAACCCATTCTTGTAACTATTCCAGTCCAAGTAAAAGTCCTGAGATCCGTCGTATCTGTTCAGAATGACGGTCCAGCCACCACCTTGAGTTCGCATGTTGCAGTACACTTTGAAAGGTACTAATGCGTACCTGGGTCTGATGGTGTAAATCCCCGAAATCCTGTGACCTTGTTTTTGAATTTCTTTACAGTTTGTCTCGGCTTGTTGGGTGTTGGTGTCGAGGTTGTTAGTGCTTTCGGTAGTAGAGACGACGAAAAACTACGTCAAAGTTTGGATTTTTAATTGTAAAATTTTGTAGAATACTTACATTGTCATTATTCGACTGTAGTGAAAATGTAGCTAGCGTGAGGAGAATTAGTGCACAAAGTTTTGTGGACATCTTGTTTGATTCACTGGCGACTTTGTACTGAGTTAATAATTTTATACAATCACTGTCTTATCAAAACAAATGTTTTCTTTCAAAGCGACTTTGACCTCGATATGTTAATCAGGGAACGGTGGGTTTTTACTGTTTCCAGGATACTGAGGGAGGTTTTAAATAGCATACGCCGCCCCGGTACGACACCTATGAGTTCTAGTATGTATGGCGATGATGACTCATTGTCGGTAACGGCGGCCGGAGAAAAGCCTGGAAGCGGATCTCGGGATAGATGTTCCAGAACAGGCCTAGAAGCGGTGACAGAGGCCTCCGTAAATTTGGGTTACTAAGAATCTTGAGGTTATAGTTTAGAAAGAATCTGGAACTGCTTTGGAGCCTCTAGTGTCTTTTTTTATAATAATTTAATTAAATTTCTTTATTAGAACCACCCGCCCGCCCTCCATTTTTTAGAGAAAATCAGTCTTGTCTTAATAGGTACTAGCCCCGCCCACCCACCCTCTCTTTTCTTAGAGGCTAGGTCATTTGCCAAAATCGATCTTATTTTAGCAGCTAGTAAGACTGATTTTGGCTAATGAGTACTCTCTAAGAAAACAGAGGGTGGGTGGGCGGGGCTAGTATCTGCTAAAACACGACCGATTTTGGCAAATCACATACCTTCTAAGAAAAGAGAGGGCGGGTGGGTGGGGCTAGTTGAAAAATTGAGAAATCAAAGTATGAAACGATCGAAAAATTGGAAAACCTAAAGTTTAAGAAATGAAAAATCGAAAATCCAAAAAGTAAAAAGTCGAGAAATCGAAGAATCCAGAACTCGAAAAATCGAAAAGTTGGAATACTTACTAAAAAACTCCAAAACTGAAATATGGAAAAATAGAAGAAAAATTGAAGAATCGAAAAACTGAAACATCAAAAAATTGAATGAAATATCCATAAATTGGGGAATTAAAATATTGAAAAATCGAAAAGTGAAGAAGAACTGAAAAAATGAAATTTGGGAAGTCGAAAAATGAGAAAATCAAAAAATAGATTAATTGAGAAATCGGAAAACTGAAAATTCAGAAACGTCAAAATTTGAAAAATTAAAAAATATTGAAGAACTGAAAAATCAAAAAAATCGAAAAATTAAAAAAAATAAAATTCGAAAATCTAAAATTTAAACATTGAAAAACTGAAAAATCAACAAATCGAAAAATCGAAACTAAAAAATTTAAAAAATTGGAAAACTGAAAAATAAGATAGAAACATCGAAAAATCGAAGAGCCGAAAAGTAAAAAATCAAAAAACCGACAAATCAAAACATCGAAAAATTAAAAAACTGATACAACCAGAAATCGAAATATCAAAAAGTTAAAAATGAAAAAATTGATTAATCGAGAGACTGAAGAATCAAAACATCGAAACATCCGCATCTCGATAAATCATCGAGATCTCAAAAAATTGAAAAATCGAAAATTTAAAAATTCTGAAACTTGAAAAATTAAGATAGAGAAGAACTGAAAACTCGAGAAGTTGAAAAATCCAGAATTTTAAAAATTGAAAAATTAAAATATGGGGAAGTCGAAACTTTGAGAAATCAAAGTATAAAACGATCAAAAAATTGAAAAACCTAAAGTTCAAGAAACGAAAAATTGAAAATTCAAAAAGTAAAAAGTCGAGAAAAGTCGAAATATTAAAAAATCCCAATCTGAAATATCCAAAAATTGAAAAATAGAAGAAACATTAAAGAATCGAAAACTGAAAAATCACAAAATTGAACGAAATATCCATAAATAGGGGAATTAATAAAATATTGAAAAATTGGGAAATCGAAAAGTCAAAAAGCAAAGTCGAAAAATCGCAAACTTAAAAAATCGAAAAATTGAAAAGTCAAAAAATTGAAGAACTGAAAAATTGAAACTTTGGGAAGTCGATAAATGGGAAAACCATAAAATAGATTAACTGATAAATTGGAAAACAGGAAATTCAGAAACGTCAAAATTTGGAAAATTAAAAAATATTGAAGAACTGAAAAATCGAAAAATCGAAAAATTAAAAAGATAAAAATTCGAAAATCTAAAATTTAAAAATCGAAAAACTGAAAAATCAACAAATCGAGAAATCGAAACTGGGAAATTTAGAAAATTAGAAAATTGAAAAATCAAATAAAAACATCGAAAAATCGAAAAGCCGAAAAGTAAAAAATCAAAAAACCGACAAATCGAAACATCGAAAAATTAAAAAACTGATACAACCAGAACTCGAAAAATCAAAAAGTTAAAAATGAAAAAATTGATAAATCGAGTGATTGAACAATAAAAACATCGAACCATCCGCATCTCGATAAAACGAGGTCTTAAGAAATTGAAAAATCGAAAATTTAAATATTCGAAAACTTGAAAAATAGAAGAAAAATTGAAGACTCGAAAAACCAAAAAATTACAAAAATGAACGAAATATCTATAAATTGGGAAATTTAAGTCAAGTTGAAAAATACAGAATTTTAAAAAGTGGAAAATTTAAAAATCGAATAACTAAGAAATCGAAACATCAAAAAACTCAAAAACTGAGACATCGACAAATCGAAAAGTCACAGGATCGAGAAATTGAGGAGTCGAAAGGTCAAAACATTTGAACTCTAAAAATCGAGAAATCAAAAAATCAAAAAATCGAGAAATTTTAAAAAAGAAAAATTGGCAAAATCAAAAATTTTAAAATTCGGACAATTGAAAAATTGAAATATAGTAGAACTGAAAACTCGAAAAATCGAAAAGTCAAGGAATCAAAATATTGGAGAATCCCAAAACTGAAACAAATATCCCAAGATTGAGAAATTAAAAAATTGGAAAATTGAGAAATTGAAAAAACCAAAAAAGGAAAGTCGAGAAATCGAAGAATTAAAGAACTGAAAAATCAAAAAGATCGAGAAATCGAGAAATCTAAACATTGACACATTGAACAATTAAAATATTGCAATGAATAAAAATAAATGGAAAATCTAAATTTTGAAAATCGAAAAAATAAAAAATCGAGAAATCGAAACTCTAGAATTTAAAAAAGTGAAAAATTAAAAAATCAGATAACTGAAAAATCGAAGCATCAAAAAATTGGAAAATCGAAAAATTGAAAAGCCCAAAAGTAAAAAATCGAGAAACCGAGAAATCGAAAAATCAGAGGATCGAGAAATTGAGGAGTCGAAACCTGAGAAGAAAAGTTACAAATCGAAAAATTGAACAACCGAAACGTCGAAACAACTGAATTCGATAAATTGAGAAATCAAAAATTTATTGAAAAATCGAAAAATTTTAAAAACGAAAAATTGGAAAAATTAAAAATATAAAAATCCAGACAATTGAAAAATTAAGAAATCGAAGTATAAAACAGTCGAAAAATCGAAAAGTCAAGGAATCAAAACATTGGAGAATCCAAAAACTATAAGAAATATCCAAAGATTGAGAAATTAAAAAAATGGAGAATTGAGAAATTGAAAAACCAAAAAAGCAAAGTCGAAAAACCGAAGAATTGAAGAACTGAAAAATCACAAAATCGAGAAATCCAAACTTTGAAACAAACACTGAACTACTAAAATATCGTAAAAAAAATCGAAAATCTAAATTTTGAAAATCGAAAAAATTAAAAATCGAGAAATCGAAACTCTAGAATTTAAAAAAGTGAAAAATTTATAAAATTAGATAACTGAAAAATCGAAACATCAAAAAATTGGAAAATCGAAAAATTGAAAAACCCAAAAGTAAAAAATTGAAAAACCGAGAAATCGAAAAATCAGAGGATCGAGAAATTGAGGAGTCGAAACCTGAGAAGAAAAGTTACAAATCGAAAAATTGAACAACCGAAACGTCGAAACAACTGAATTCGATAAATTGAGAAATCAAAAATTTATTGAAAAATCGAAAAATTTTAAAAACGAAAAATTGGAAAAATTAAAAATATAAAAATCCAGACAATTGAAAAATTAAGAAATCGAAGTATAAAACAGTCGAAAAATCGAAAAGTCAAGGAATCAAAACATTGGAGAATCCAAAAACTATAAGAAATATCCAAAGATTGAGAAATTAAAAAAATGGAGAATTGAGAAATTGAAAAACCAAAAAAGCAAAGTCGAAAAACCGAAGAATTGAAGAACTGAAAAATCACAAAATCGAGAAATCCAAACTTTGAAACAAACACTGAACTACTAAAATATCGTAAAAAAAATCGAAAATCTAAATTTTGAAAATCGAAAAAATTAAAAATCGAGAAATCGAAACTCTAGAATTTAAAAAAGTGAAAAATTTATAAAATTAGATAACTGAAAAATCGAATCATCAAAAAATTGGAAAATCGATAAATTGAAAAACCCAAAAGTAAAAAATCGAAAAACCGAGAAATCGAAAAATCAGAGGATCGAGAAATTGAGGAGTCGAAACCTGAGAAGAAAAGTTAAAAATCGAAAAGATGAACAATCAAAACGTCGAAACAACTGAATTCGATAAATCGAGAAATCAAAAAATTATTGAAAAATGGAAACATTTTAAAAAAGAAAAATTGGAAAAATTAAAAATATAAAAATCCGGACAATTGAAAAATTGAAAAACGAAAAATTAAGAAATCGAAATATAAAACAATCGAAAAATTGAAAAATATAAAGCTTAAGGAAATATCGAAAATCTAGAAATCAAAAAACTCAGGAGTCTAAAAATCGAAAAGTCGAAAAATCGAAATATTGAAAAATCCCAAAACTGAAAGCAATACCCAAAAATTTGAGAAATTAAAAAATTGGAAAAGTGGGAAATGGAAAAACTGAAAAGCAAAGCCGAAAAATCGGAAGCTTAAAAATCGAAACTTTGGAACGTCGAGAACTGGGACAATAAAAAAAAGATTGGTACAAAAATCGGAAAGCTGAAAATTTAGAAACGTCGAAATTTGAAAAATTTCTAAAATTGAAGAGGACAAATATTGAGAAATCGTATCATTGAAACACCGGAAAATTGGGAAATCGAACTATAAAGTAGTCGAACAATTGAAATATGTAAAGTTTAAAAAACGTAAAACTGAAAATACAAAA